CCAGCTGACAGCCCAGACGCGTCTGGGCTGTCAGCTGGCCGCGCGTTCCGCCGCTTTGCTTCCTCTCCCTGGTCTGCTGGAGACCAGGGAGAGGAAGTGCCCTGTTCGTAACTGCGGATCCGACATAAGTCGGATCCGCGTAACTCGGGGACTGCCTGTATTCTGCCAATGTCACCCTCTGAAAATGTATTAGACTCAGACTTCAAGGCCAAAATGGACAATAATGGCTATCTAGTCTGACCTCTTGCACATTGCAGGCCACGGAACCTTGCCCACCCACTCCTATAATAGACCCCTAATCTCTGGCTTGAGTTACTGAAGTTGTTCGAATCATGATTTTAACACTTTACATTACTCAGAATCCACTATTTACTCTAGTTTAAACCTGTGTATTATCTATGTCCCACGCTGCACACGATGCCATTCTAATCTGGCAGGAAATTTCACTAGGCAGGTGCCAAACCCATCTGGTTTTATTTGGTAATCTAAGGTTATTCTAACAGTCATGACTCACCTGAGGCACTCCTGGCTCTGCCCCCACAAATCAATGGTCTCCTCAGCACCCATATGCATATCCAGATTGCACACATTGGGCTTTTGGGGGTATACCTTCAGACACTGCTTTGCCCAGTGGCGCTGACAGCCCGGAAGAAAGGGGTTTGGGATGAAAATAAAGCCTGGCCATGCAATCAAAAAGAAAAAAGAAAGAGTATGGTTAAGTGTCCATCCATTTTTTTAAATCCTTAGCATTGGAGGGACACTGAGAAATTCTTATGTGCTCCAATACTGACTCTATGCAAGGGCAGGTGAAGTCTGTTGCCGAAATGCCAGACAAACAAATCCCATACCCAATAGGCTTATTCTGCCCAAAGTAAAGGATTGTAGACACTAAGGCTTCTGGGAGAAAGATTCAGCAGTAGAGACTGACAGGCATTAACTTTGGTGTGAGGAAAAAGGTTACAGGAGAACAGGGTGCACAAAAATCGATTGAAAGCTGGGTCCCCATGAGCACTGGCTCCCGCCCTCGTCTGCATTGCTGTCTCTGATACAGAGGCAGCTGTGCGATCGGGGGAGGGCAGCTCTACATGCCATGCTCCCCCACGCTGCTGTCTCCCAGAGAGTTACAACATTAACAAAAATAAGCACATTTTAACCTCCCTGTAGCCTAGCCCTTATTTTCTATTGAACCCCTCTTCAGACAGTCGAAGGCTGATATCAAATCTCCCCCACCCCACTCTTCTCTTCTGCAGACTAACTAGGTCTAGTTCCCTTGGTTTCTCCTCATAAGTCATGTGCTCCAGCCCCCTGATAATATTTGTTGCCTTCCACTGGATTCTCCCCAGTTTGTCCACATCCTTCCTGTAATGGGAGGCCCAAAACTGTATGCAATAATCCAGATGTGACCTCACCAGCAAACAGAAGGGAACAATCACTTCCCTTAATCTACTGGCAATGCTCACACTAATGCAACCCAATTTGCCATTAGCTTTCTTGGCAACAAGAGCAGACTGCTGACTCATATCCAGCTTCTTGCCCATTGTAATCCCCAGGTCCTTTTCTGCAGAACTGTCACTCAACCAGTTGATCTCCAGCCTGTAGCAGTGCATGGGATTCTTCTATCCTAAGTGCAGGACTTTGCACTTGTTGAATCTCATCAGATTTCCTTTTGGCCCAATCCCCCAATTTGTCTAGGTCACTCTGGATCTTTTCCCTACCCTCTAGTGTTTCTATCTCTCCCCACAGCTTAGTGTCATCTGTGAACTTGCTGAGAGTGCAATCCATCCCACCATCCAAATCATTTATGAAGACGTTGAACAACACCAGACTCCAAAGCACTCCACTTGATACTGGCTGCTATCTACACATCAAGCCATTGTTGATCACTACCCATTGAGTCTAACGATCTAGCCAGCTTTCCACCCACATTATATTCCATTTATTCAAGCCATACTTCTTTAACTTGCTGGCAAGAATACTGTGGGAGACCATACCAAAAGCTTTGCTAAATCACAGAACACTACAACTGGAAGGGACCTCAAGAGGTTATCGAGTCCAATCCAGTCCCCTGCCCTCATGGCAGGACCAAGCACCATTTAGACCATCCCTGAGAGATGCCTATCTAACGTGCTCTTAAATATCTCCAGTGATGGAGATTCCACGACTCTTCCCTAGGCAATTTATTCCAGTGTTTAACCACCCTGACAGTTAGGAAGTTTTTCCTAATGTCCAACCTAACCTCCTTTGCTGCAGTTTAAGCCCATTGCTTCTTGTCCTATCCTCAGAAGCTAAGAACAATTTGTCTCCCTCCTCGTGACACCCTTTTAGATACTTGAAAACTGCTATCAAGTCCCCTCTCAGTCTTCTCCTTTCCAAATTAAGAAGCTTGATTATTTCAGTCTTCTCTCATAGCTCATATTCTCTAGACCTTTAATCATTCTTGATGCTCTTCTCTGGACCTTCTCTAATTTCTCCACATCTTTCTTGAAATGTGGTGCCCAGAACTAGACACAATACTCCAACTGAGGCCTAAAGCCAAGGTGTATCACATCCACTGCGTTTGCCATATCGACAGTCAGTTATCTCATTATAGAAGACAATTAGGTGGTCAGGCATGTCCTGCCCTTTGCGAATCCATGTTAACTGTTCCTAATCACTTTCTTCTCCTCCAAGTGTTATTCCTTTAAGATCTGCTCCATGATTTTTCCAGGGACTGAGGTGAAGCTGAGTCATCTGTAGTTCTCCAGATTCTCCTCCTCCTGTTTTTTTTTTTTTTTTTTTTTTAAAAGATGGGCACTACATTCACCTTTTTCCAGTCGTTCAGGGCCTTTCCTGATCATCACCACGAGTTTTCAAAGATAATGGCCAACGGCTCTGCAATCACATCAACCAACTCTCTCATTATTCTCAAGTGCATTAGAGCCAATACTATGGACTTGTGCATGTCTAGCTTTTCTAAATAGTCCTTAACTAGGGATGTTAGTTATTAGGGATGTAAGCAACTAGCGATGCGACTAGTCACTTCCCCCTCCTTGCTGCCTCTATCAGAGAGAGGCAGCAAGGGGGGGAAGCAAGAGCTGGTGCTGGGTGAAGCCGGCTTAAAAGTGGGAGGTAGGGGGAGGTAGAGGCACAGCGGGAAATGGCATAGAGGGGACTGAAGTAGTCTCTGCTCACGCTGCTTCTGCTGTGAGTCTGTTTTTTAAATGTACAAGAGCCCCACTGGGGACTCAGCTGGCAGCGTGGGGAAGGAGGAGGTGGGTCCGTGAGAGCCGATACGTGTGAGGAGTTGGCTTGAAAGCTGGCTCTCTGTGCATACTGACTCCAGCCTCCTCCCCTCACCCTCTGCACTACTGCTTTTCTATCAGAGACAGGAGCCAACGGGTGAGGGCACCAGCTCCCGCTCCCTCTCTCGCAGCTTCTGCTACAGAGGCTGATACAGAGATAGCGGGGTGGAGGAATGCATTTAGTTGACAAGATTACCTGACAAGCCTTAGCTTAACCTGTTCTTTTGCTACTGAGGGCTGCTCATCTCTTGGCCACACTGTGCTGCCTAGTGCAACAGTCTGGGAGCTGACTTGGTCAGTGAAGACTGAGGCAAAAATAAGCATGGGGTGCTTCAATTTTTTCCACTCCATCTACCACACAATGGGGAAAGGCAATCTAGTAAGGGCACCTTCTTCTTGCTGCTGACACCTTCTTCTTGCTGCTGCTTCTTGTTAACACTCTTCTTACAGTAACATCAGCCTGTTCTCACAATGGAGACACAATGTGAATGGATGTAGTGTCTGGGACTCTTGGGTCATATCTAGGGATGTGAACGACTAGTTGACTATCCGATAAGCAAATGCTTATCAGATAGTCAACACAGTAGTCGACCAGTCGTCCCCCGCCGCCCCTTGCTGCCTCTATCAGAAAGAGGAAGCAAGAAGATGTGGGGAAGAGGCAGGGATGCTTCAAAGTAGCAGCACCGCATGGAGCCCGGTGCCAGACTCTGGGCTCCATGCGGCACTGCCACTTTGAAATGCCACGTGCAATTCCCAGCTGGCGCTGGGCTGCATCTGGAGTTTCAAAGTGGCAGCACAGCATGGAGCCCAGGCTCAGCTGACCACAGGCTCGATGTGGCACTGCCACTTTGAAACAGCATGGGGAACACGGCACAGATCCCCACTGGCCCCATGCTCCCCACAACGCTATCGCCTTTCAAGTGTAGCAACATCCCTGGGGTTGTTGCATCGACTATTTGATTAGCCAATGAATCTAAATTTAACATCCCATGTCATATCCCCAACTATGCCCTGTGAAACTACAGGCCAGTCACTTCACTTCAGTTTACCCAGAGTACAATAAGGCTAGTGCTGATTTTATAGGTACATTACAGCATTTTGTTAAACCTGTCACTTTGAGACACCCAGGTGAAAGATGCTAGGGAAGGATACAATATTTATATTTTGGGCCCAAGGCCCATACTGCGTATCTCTTAATCAATTTGTATTTAATTTTAATAAAGTTTTCTGTGTCAAACAAAAAGAGACACAACTGAATGTAATATTCACAAGACCCCATGAGATGACTGGGGTTCGTCCTACTAATATTAAATTTCTAGTAGATTGTTCCAAGAACCATCTGGCTTGGATATCTCAATTTCAAAATGACTGCCTGGCTTCAAATCAAATAAGTTAGTAAAGCTGCAATTCTAGTTTTCAAGAAATAGCCACCTATAGTTACATTCAAATGGTGTCTTATAAAGCTCATGTCACAGGTGACACACATCTAAGAGAAATAGCCGAAGAAAACTTTTATTATTAGGCTCTGCAGTCTATTAGTCTCTATTGAATTCCTGGAAAAGTCTGTCTCCCTAATCCTCCCCAATAGCTTCAAATGGATATGGAATTCCTTTTCTCTTACTCTGCTCAACTGTTGTCAATTGTTTGCTGTCCATGATTAAACATTAGCAACACTTGATGACTGCATTTCAGTGACGGGTGAAGTTATTCCTGGAGCATTTGAAATTTGAGACAGAAAGCACTAGGGAAATGTAAGAATCATCACAGGCTATGTCACGGGACTCCCATTCTCAAGATGGAAGGTGGGGTTGGTACAGCTCAAAAAAATCCAGCAACCTCAGTTTACTCTTCTGTTTCTCCGTTCATGTGTATCTACCCTCAAAACCCCAAATTAGTTCCACTTCCTCCTATTAGCGATGTCAGAAAGCGGGTAATAGAATAGTCGACTAACTGCATGAATTCTTAGAGCCAATTCTTAGAGCCAGGCCCGGTCTCACCACAGATAGAGGCTGCTCTGGCAGCAGCCCCTGTCTGCAGGGAGCTTGGACTCCCCATGGACAGGGACTACTGCCAGAGCAGCTTCTGACTGTGGCCAGTCTGGGTTGCTGTGGACAGGGGCTCCTGCAGCAAAGCAGCCTCTGCTCATGGTGGGCCCAGGCTCACTGTGAACAGAGGCTACTCCGCATCCCATGGAGCAGCCCATCTCTTGCAAGTCTGGGCCCACTGCAGGCAGGGGCTGCTGCCACCAAGTAGCCTTCCCTGTCCCCCTCTGCTGTGCTGTTGCTTCCCTCAGAGGCAGCAGCATGGGGTGGGAGGCAGATGGCATTGTGGAGCTGGTGCTGGAGGAATTGGCTTTAAGCTGGCTCCCCGCAACTGATTCCTGCTTCCCCCGCCCTTTGCTGCCTTTGATACAGAGGAAGAAGAGGGGGGTGGGAAACACGAGTAGTCGACTAGATTAACCGATAAGTCTAGGCTTATCAGTTAATCGACTAGTTGACTACTTGTTCACATCCCCACCTCCTACATGCGGACTACAACTTATATCATTCATGGACAAACCCATATAAATTCCTCACCAAGGGCAAGTTAAGAGTATAGGGCAGGGAAAACAAAAGAGGGAGACAAATAAAGCAGAGGTGGCAAGGCCACATTTTGTCTTGCTTGAAGTCAGACGCAGTTACCTGGGTAGCCATCCAGGCCATAGGCTTTCCACTGGCTAACTGGCTGCAGTCCTGCTCTGTAGGCATCTTGATCGCTCACTGAAGAAATGCTTAGTTCAGAGCTTACTACCTGGCAGAAGAGAAGCAGAAGTCAGACAACTGAGCAGTGTAAAGATTTGACACCTCTCCACATACAGACAGATGAAGTTTATCTGATGAATATTCAGCTAAGTTAAAATAGGAGCATGGGAATCCTTCCTGCTATGTGTAAGTCAGGAAGGCCTTCTATTGCATTACACATGACTATGCTGTAGTGCAGGGCTACTGAACTTTGGGGCCACAATGGTAAGTTGCAGCCCTTGGCACGTGCTCTAAGTGTGGTTGCATATACATGCAAATAGCTTCTTTTACACAATGTTCCCTCTCTGGGGTCTAGAAACGCTGACATCCTGTATCCCTCTGTTCCAGCCAGCCCGTCCACTTGCATCTTTCAATGCTCACCCTGCCCGGGAGACACCTCGCTGTTGTGGAGCGTATTCCTAGTCGAGGCCATGTTCAAAGGATCCCACCCACAGCCTGTGTGCTGAGCCCCGCGTAAACCCAAACAGCACTGTGAGCTGCAAACAAACGGGCTGTAGGTCTCATGTGGCCCACACGTTGAGGAGCCCTGCTGTAGTGTATCAGTGTCTTTGGAATCTAGTGGTAGTGATGCTACCAGGGAACCAGTCCCTTGGTGAACTAGCAGAAGCATAAGTCAAATTGTTAAACTGAGCGGCATGAGTGCAAGACAAATCAAACAAAAGGGAAACCCCTCCTTAAAGGAGTAGGGGTAGCAAATTAGAATGACATGTGGCCAGAAAGAACACTTGTGTTCACTTATTCATAGACTACTACCTCATGCTGGTAGAGACATGAGCTCCACTAGATAGTAATGCACAGCATTTATAGAACACTTCCCACCATCAATACACTTCCCACCTTCAGAACATTTTCCAAATATTTGGCACTCATCACAATGTCTTTGGATGTAGGTGAATATTGCCTGTTTTCCACGCAAGGGGAAACTAAGAGATGTGAAATGACTTGACCAAGGTTACACAGTCAGAACCAGAACTGGTAGTAGAGAAATGTGTGGTCTGAGCTCAGGATCAGTTCTTTTTCTTGTATCAGAATTAACAGCTACAAAGTTAAGTGTAGTTAGCACTTCATTTGGATTGTTTCACTAATCATGTTATCTCTCAGTTCAATTGACTCTACAATTAATGCAGTATAAATGCTTAGGTAGAGCGTCTGTCTCTTTGCTCACTCTCTCTATTTACAATCTTCTGAAAAAAAGGACAAATCTCTCTCTACCTGCAAGATAGATGAACATTTTGTTTTAGCGACATCTTAAATTATATGGAAAACAGTATAATTGTTTTCAGCTAGAGTTGAAAACAGCCCTGAATTCAGAGTTGTATTTGGCTCAGCTACAGCTGAGTGATATTTATCAGGTGATGCTAAATCCTTGGCATCTAAGAATTTCCTGCACCTAACCATTTTTACTCATTTGCTCATCACTCAACAAATGAGTTTTGTTACTGCAAACCACGAATGTCATCAGCTCAGACTCCTGTCTGTGGAACGTGCATGAGAAGATTCTTTCCTCAGACATAACCATCAAACTTCCCTGCTTCTGCCTCTAAAGGCTACTACTGCACTAGCTCTGCCCTTTATTCAGAATAAAGGAAACTGTTCCTGTGACTAAATCCTACATACACCGAATCAGGTAAATAAGCCTCAAATTAAAACAGCCTGCAGACATCTCACTACACCAGAGAACTCATCTATTTGAAGAAGTTTATTGGCAATGTTGGGACCAGGAAAACAAGGCCTGGTCAACGTTATGCTAAGGAAAGTTAGCAAAGGCTAATTACGGAGGCCTCTGGGTATTTTTGACCAGAAGCAGAAATGTGGTTCAAACAGAGGCGCACCCTCCATGCTGGCTTAGGTTATAAAGGTAAAATGAGTGATAAATTATATATTTGTACCTACTGTAAGTAGAATGGCTTGCTTTGGGAACTGGTCAGTAACTCCCTGTTTTTGTTCCTCTTCGCTAATCTTACCTCCCTATTTTTGCCCTTTGTTTGTACCCGACTCTTTTGTCTCCTTGTTCCTGGTACCTGCCTTTTGTGATTGATAAGAAAGTTACTGATGCATTATGAAGCGCTTTTGGCCACAATGTATAGTTGGCTAAGATATGCATAGATATTAAAAGTTTCTAGAAAGGGGGGTAAGTGGCTTGGGTGAAGAGCTTATGACGCGACGGAACTGTCTTTATAAGCCTACCTGTTACTAAAATCGGGGCTGGTTCTCTTGGGAGACGGGCCGCTCTCTATTGTTGTGTGCACTCATCAATAAAGAGCTTGTGATTGAACTTTCCTGGTGTTGCCTGTCTCTTTGCGGTCAGACAACGAACCGAGCTGTCTGGGTTAGAGTCCCTGACAGCAATCAAAAGGAATAATATCTGGGCCAGTCTGTCTGGCCTTTAGCACTCCTCATTGAAGAAAAACCCCACGTGTTTTAGCTGGGGTAGGAAATATATCCACCCCACTGATGGTAGGAACAGAACAGAGCTATAGAAATGGATTAGATACCTGTGATGCTTTCAATAGTTAAGTGCTTAGAATTTCCCAAAGGGCTGCAGCCCTAGAAGACACATAGCGTGTGGATATAAGGGAGCCTCGGGCCTCCAACCCAAAAGGAAAAGATGTTGTTCGAGCCTTTGTGCAACACTGAACAGATAAGTGTGCGCCAAGGTGCTGTGTTATCGGTAGCTTCTCGTTGCAATAAGCATTATTACAAATCTTCTCAATGTTAATGGCGCAGAAAACCGAAAAGCGGCCGAAGCAAACGAAATGCAGGGCTGTCATCGTGCCCCTTATTCCCCCCGGCGGCATCATTTAATGTCGGGAGAAATGGCTATTCCGCAACAGCCTTTCGGAGGGCAGCATCGGTCACAAAGAAATGCAGCGGCAGAAAGCGCAGAGCCCCTGCGGGTGACAGGCCCATTCGAACCTGAACTGCGACGAGCGAGGGAGGAAGGGACTGGAGCGGCTCAAGAAAGGGCCGCGAGGCCCCTTATTCCCCCCGGCGGCATCATTTAATGTCGGGAGAAATGGCTATTCCGCAACAGCCTTTCGGAGGGCAGCATCGGTCACAAAGAAATGCAGCGGCAGAAAGCGCAGAGCCCCTGCGGGTGACAGGCCCATTCGAACCTGAACTGCGACGAGCGAGGGAGGAAGGGACTGGAGCGGCTCAAGAAAGGGCCGCGAGAGCGGCGGCCGCTGCCCAGGAACTGACCCCGCGTTGCCCCTCCCCTCCGCGTTTACCTGGTCCCCCGGGGAGGAGAAA